GATAAAGTAAATATTATATTAATATTAAATTATAAAATAAAAAAATCTGATGTTTTAATATCAGTAGATTTATTATTATTTTTATTTATTTTTTTATTTTTTCTCTTTTTTTTAATATTCTCAGTATTATCAGTACTTTTATTATTTTTATTCTTCTTTCTTCACTACTTAGATACTTTGTCAGAGTTTAGATAATAGTAATTAGTCTTTATATACTCTGAAATTTTACAGTATTTATATTATGAAATTATAATGATAATTGTAGTATTATTATTATTATCATTGATAACTGTATTAATTTTTGAAGTTTTAAAGTATTCAGAATTCTCTGATTTATTTATTCAGTAAATAATTTATTTTATAAAATTATTAATATTTAGATTGACAATTAGACTCTGATCTGTTTTATAAAATATATTAAAATATAATTTAATATAGATTTTCTGATAATTTCAGAGACTGATAATAAAAAAATTATAAAGATAGTTCTCACTGCAGTTCTTTATTAATTATTATATATAAACAGATAAATAGTGATATCAATATATATATATCAGATAATCACTGTTCTTAATATATAAATAAATAAGTTCTTTGAGAATATTAATTCTTTTCTTCTCTAGAAACATTATATATACTGTATTTATTTTGTGTTATAAAGTTATTATATTGTCAGATTAAATAGATTTTATAATTAAACAGATAGAATCTATCAGAGATTATAATATATAATAGAAGAGTAGCTTTGAATGTATTATTTAATATTATTACTTGAGTATTGATAAATTTTCAGATAATTTCTATTGATTTTTATTGAGAATATCTATATTACTGATTATTTTTATATTCAAAAAGAATATCATCTTTTATATCTGATAGTTGATATTATTAAATATAATAATGAATTTTATATTCAATAAAATCTATATTTTCTTCTGATATTTATAAATCAGTATATTCAGATCTTCTTCTAATATAGAGTTCAGAGAAAATAAAGATAAAAAAGAAAATAATGAAGAAGATGACAGTATATATACTGATATTAATTATTTATAGAGTGTAATAAGATCTACTGCTGTTATAATTATTATACTGTTAGAATTTAGTATAGATATCAGTATAGAACTGAATATATTATTTTCAGATTTCTTATATTCTGATATCTTATCAGTATTTTATACTGAGTCAGAGATTATTATATCTTTCTCTGTTATTATATATTCAGTTTGATCACTCTTTACTTCTGAAATGAATTCTTACTCAGTAATAGAGAAGAAGAATTGAAAAATTCTTGATTATAAATATAATATCTTCTTATATTCTGATATAAAAGTTATAGATAATTGAGAATCACTTATAATCAATCTGATTTAGAAAGATTCTGAATGAAAATAAATAAATAAGTTTTTAATTTCTTCAAAATAGTAATAAAATCTCTACAGCAGTCTCAATAGTAATTTCATTAATTATACTATTTTTATAGATAAAGAGTTCTCTTTTCAGAGAAATAATATCTAACTCATTCAATATAACATCAGTTGCAGTGTATTCTAATCAAAACATGTTGTTTTTCTTAAAAATCTGCTATCCAGGCCATAATCTGTGGGATGGTTGATCTTGTTATTGTTGTGGTCACTAGCTAACTATATAGGGGTAATCACGTGCGGTGGAGGGCCACCTGGGCAACTAGTGCCCAACACAATCGTTCCAATCTATCTGCTAAATGTACCCCCACGTGACCACGCGAGTTTCTCGTGACTACAACCACGTCCACCATATCCTTTTATCTCATAGCTACAAAGGTCCCGCTTTTGTAATCGCTAGAATCAGCTTTGATGCGATAATTTGGCTGAAGGGCATTAGCTGTCATGGCTGGCGATTCCTGTGCGAACCCGTTACTCCTCGAATGGATCAAGGAATGGCTTGATGAGGCGCGGGAGCGTAATTCGAAGGGCGTCAATGTGTATGTGCTCTGCGACTCCTCCCACGATGCCTATCTTCTTGGGGGAAACTCATTCGTGCTAATTCCGTGATCTCAGATACAAAAAGGCATATGATTCCATGAAAGTTTGCCCAATACCCTTCAGCCATCCTTCAGAAGCACAACAGCTCCATGGCTTTGGCCCGAAGTTATGTGACCGTCTAACAGCAAAATTGATTGCCCATTGCGAACAAAACGGGCTTCCTATCCCTGAATTACCACATCACGGTATACATTTCTTTTCACTCCCTCCTAGGTTTTTACGATCTGAAGCTGATGCCTTGTATTCTAGCCCGTAAAAGAACAGCACAGAATGGCAACGATGAATCCCAGCCGGCTAAGAAGCCAAAGAAAGTGAAGCCTTATGTGCCAGTTCTACGCTCTGGCCCGTATGGGTTGCTCCTGGGGCTTGCCAATATGGATGAAAATTCATCCCTTGGACTCACCAAACAGCAACTTATTGAACTCGCCCAACCCTATTGCGATTCTTCATATACAGTGCCTCCTGACCAGTCTAAGTTTTATACAGCGTGGAATTCCATGAAAACTTTGGTACAGAAAGATCTTGTGTACGAGCATGGTCGGCCGTCGTCACGAAGGTATCTGCTCACCGATGAAGGATGGGAAATTGCGAGGAGGATTAAAAAGACTCTGCCAAGCGAGTGTTCTAATGAACTTGAAAACCGGTATAGCCAAGTATGTAGTGTTTACTTCCAACAGTACCTTTTTTTGTCATCATCTGATCATTTTATAGCCGTCACGATCTGATCGACTTGGGCGAGTCCATGAAACTGAATTGCAGCGGAATACGGATCCGTCAGCCTTTCTACCAAGTGGGGGCTTAGACTCAATTCCTCTCGTTCACCACCAGCACCCTAAGCAGCAAGTAATTAATCTAGAAGATTCGGACTCGGGAGAGAATTCGAATCCAGCCATTCCACGAATGCAAGAGGCTATCTCTACAAACATTGGACGACAAACGTCATTCAATAGAGATATATCAGATCAAAACGCCGATATATCATCGTCTACGCCTGCCTTCACGCCAATAACACTCCAGCCGGACAGCTTCACCGTCGAGCTTGTCCTCGACGTTCGCGAAATACGCTCTGTGAAGGACAGAGATTACATCGCTAACGAACTCATGAAGAAGGGAATAACGCCAGTCGTACGTTCTCTTGAAGTCGGAGATGTGCTCTGGATCGCCAAATGCAGAGACCCAACGTTCCTCGCCCGACACGGCGAAGAAGGGGACGAAGTCATGCTTGATTGGATTGTGGAGCGAAAACGTCTGGACGATCTAATCGGCAGTATCAAAGACGGGCGCTTCCGTGAGCAGAAATTCCGACTACGGCGTTCAGGGGTGCAGAACGTCATTTATCTAGTCGAAGACTTCGCTGATGCGGGTTCTGCCGCGTCGAAATATTACGAACATGTCTCATCGGCTATTGCATCCACGCAAGTTGTGAATGGTTACTTCGTCAAGCAGACGCGTAATCTAGATGATACCATCAGGTATCTAGCTCGAATGACAGAACTGTTGCGAAGAATGTACACCACAACCACCGCCAGTGGCTCTACTAGGACCACCACGCCGTGCCCCCTTTCAATCATTCCATCCAAACACCTCACCTCCTCCCAAGCCTATCTAGATCTCCTCAAACGACTTCGCTCTCAGCCATCGCAACCCACAACCAGAAAACCAACGTATACAGTCACATTCCCCAACTTCTCTTCCCTCGCCTCCAAGTCCGAAATGCTCACCCTTCGCGACCTTTTCTTGAAAATGCTCATGTGCACGCGTGGCGTGACGGCTGATAAAGCGCTGGAGATCCAGCGGCACTGGCGGACGCCGCGGGAATTTGTCGAAGCGTTTGAGGCAGCCTATCGAAGTCGGCCTGAGGGAGATGTGGCTGCGATGGAAAACATGGTGTTTGAAAAATTGGGGGGGTTGGTGGGGAGGAAGAAGGTTGGGAAGCAGGTTAGTAAGAAGATTGCAGAGGTTTGGGGGGTCAAATAATAATGGGAATTGGTACCGGTAATGACGGCCGGTTTTGGAATTGATGCTGGGATTCTTGTTTTGGGTGTTATTCTTGGTTTTTCCGCTGCTATGGCTGTTCATTGTTTTTTTTTTTTTTTTTTTTTTTTCATTCATTGCGGCGGTATTTCGGTGTTTGTCATTTTGCATTATACGGGATATATGCATCATGGCCGGGGCCACTTCATAATTTTGCGGCGGTCATCTCTCATCTTCCCCCGTTTATGATTTTAATTTCTCATTTTCTGTTCTCATCCGTTCCGCTTTATCCTCTTCTCTTCCTATTCCACAGCGCTGCTCTGATTGTTCTGCCCTCTGGTTTATCCTTGCTATGTATATGTATATATATATGTATATACTTTTATATTCTTTATTTTCGCCGCTGACACGGCTCCAGCCCTCGACTACATGGAGGTAAGTGGGCTGTCGCGAAGAAACTCCGCATTTCAATCGAAGAACTAGTAAGTTCCCCTCCCCCCCTTTTTTTTTATCTTCTTCATACAGTTTTGTTACTGTACAATAACTACGTATTAGAGGCCAGATGAACGCTGATTTTTTTTTTTTTTTTTTTTTTTTTTTTTTTTTTTTTTTTTTTGCATGCGAGTATTTTATATATGTTTTAATGTTTAAACTTCGTCCAATAATTAGATTTTCATGACGTTAGATACATGGTATCACACAGCTTCACTGCAATAACCCGAAATATTAGATAATAATAATCTGTGAAGAAAACAGTGCCAGTGAAATAATATATGTACAGTATAACTCGGTTAAAACATAATAACAAAGATGATGATGATGATGATGATGATTTGCTCAACAAAATGTGATCAAAGGGAGGGCCAAAAAAAAAATTAAAAATTAAAAATTAAAACAAATAAAAAATAAAAATATTAGAACAGAATAAACAGAATACTCATTATTTCATCTCCATGTGGAAAAGAGAGAGAAAGAACGAAAGAAAAATCTCGAGCGTCATTTTCACGCCTTCGTCCAAAATCGCACCTTCCGCACAATCCACGGCCTAGCCCTCCTCCACTCGAACCTCAGCGCCAAACTACTAACCACCACCGAAATACTACTCAGCGCCATCGCCAAACTCGCCCAGACAGGATCGAGTCGCCAATGCTCATTCACCACCGTGCCATGTTCCTTCACCTTCTTGCCCGTGACTATGGGGAAAAGCACGCCCGCCGCAACCGGCACCAGGATCATGTTGTAGATGGCGGCCCAGCCAAAATTCCACTTGACGCGGTTGAACACGCGCCTCGAGGATGGTGGTCAGGTCTGAGTTGAGGAGGATGAAGCCGGCAGAGTTAACGGCGACGTCGGAGCCGGAGGCCATGGCAGCCGGAGGCCATGGCAATACTCACGTTTGCGGCGGTGAGGGCGGGGGAGTCGTTGGTGCCGTCTCCGACGAAGGCGATGATGCGTTTCTTGTCGGCTGCTGCTGGTGCTGGTGGTGGTGTGCAGCTTGTTGTCTTGGATCTGGCGGACGTACTCTGCCTTTTGAGAAGGGAGGACGTTGGCCAGTACATTTGAGGCGGGGATTCCGATCGTGGCCGCCACGGCGTGTGCTGTGGTTTGGTTGTCTCCGCTACACATGAAAACTTCGATGTTTTTGGATTGGAGGCTGGATATCACACTTGCTGCTTCGGGTCGAATCGGGTCCGAAGTTGCGAAGACAATAGCAGGGACGAATGGGGAGGGAGCATCGGAGATTTGGCGAATGGCGAGGATGGCGGTGGACTTTGCCTCAGATTGGTACTTAGTGAGTGTGTTGGATAGGAAATAAAGATCAGTTCCATTTTCATCGACGAGAGAGTCTAACAGCCGTTGACTTCCAATAGCTGCCTCATATTTAACCTCTACACCGTTGACCGTTAGCGAGAACATTCCTTTCATTCCTTGTCCGGGTATCTCAGTTAGTGTTGAGGATATGACAGAGACGGAGGATTGCTCTGCACAGAAATCGGCAATCGCGTTCGCGATCGGGTGTGTGCTGCTCTGTTCCAAAGTCCTCGCCAATTCCCAGGCAACCCGTTGCTGTTCCTCGTCCGCGACAAGCATTTCATGATCAGATACCCGCAACGTCCCTCCTTCAGTCAAAGTCCCCGTTTTGTCAAAGACAATGGCCTCAAGCTTACTCGCTTCCTGAAAGGCTTCACCACCACCCCTAACAAGGATCCCTCGTCTGGCAGCAAGGCCGCCACCAACAAAAAGAGCAGTGGGAGCTGCCAAAGCCAAACCGCAAGGACAGGCGACCACGAAAACGGCAATGGCGAACTTTAATGACCAAAATGCCCATCCGCCCTGAGCCGAATCGAGGTAGTCAGGAGGGAGACTGCCGGAGAGTCCCAAGCTGAGCCAGATCACGAATGTGAGGATAGCGATGAGGGTGATTACCGGTACGAAATAACTCGTCATGATGTCCGCTACCCCCTCAACAGGGGCACGCTTGGTCAGGCCCTCTCGGACAACAGCAACGATTTGATCAAGCATAGACGTGCTACCGATATCGGATACTCGGATGTATACTGGTTGTCCAACGTTCACAGACCCTGAATATACCTTATCTCCAGCAACTTTCGTAATCGGCTTCGACTCCCCGGTCAGTGAGCTCTCGTCAAACCGGTAAGTATCGGAACTGGTCACAATACCGTCAGCGGGAGGCGATGCGCCATGCGGGATGTTCACGATATCGCCAACTTCCAGCAGATCAACGTTAACGCGTTGGAGGTTGGAACTCGGCGCATCATCAGGGTTCGTCGACGGAGAATCAAGCACCAGAAGAGCCTCGGATGGACGAAGTTTACCCAGGGATGCGACAGCATCGCCGGCTTTCGCTTTGCTGTAAGCTTCCAAGAACCGTCCGGCAAGAATGAACAGGGTCAGGAAAACAACAGTGTCAAAGTACGGTGACATGTGGGGTTGGTGTTCCTCCATTCCAGCTGCGACAGCCAGCATCGCAATTGATGCAAAATATGCCACAGAAGTACCCGCAGAAATGAGCAAGTTCATACTTCCAAAGCGGTAAAATCTTCGTAGGATTGGTACCTTGCTACGGGGTCTCCACAACGCTCTGATCTCCTTGAAAGCACGGACATGGAAAACATCGGCACCATAGCACATGACAGGTGTGGTGATGATGAACAACGCCCATTCCAGACGGGTTACCTGGCCTGCCCATATCGGTTCGTAGAAATATGTTCTTAACCTGTTAGTTGAAGGTACCAGGGACATCCAGACGACGCCTATCAGGAAGGTCGGAATCGCCGCGATGAAAACAAACAGCAAGCGTAGGAGTATGCGGCGTCTTTCGAGGAGCTGCATCGCACGAGAACGGTCCTCAATGGTTGGAGGATGATATATACTTGCTTTAAAAGCGTCGTTGGCAGATTCGATAACAGCAATAATTTTCCGGATGGTCATGGAAGGGGGATTTGGTTGGTAAGTGATTTTCACGACATTCTTCTTGAACGTGAGGCTTTCAACGACTGAAACCGATTCACTGTCCATTGCTTCTAAAGCACTCAAGATCTTTTCAGGGCAGTGGTGGCAAAACATCCCATCAACTTTAATTTCAACCGTCCGTTTCAAGGGGCTGTTGTCGTCCGGTCCGGTTCCATTTTGTTTGAGCGGGACACACTGTGTAACCACAAATTCATATCCAAGACCCTCAACAACTTGCTTAATCTCATCGAGTCTCTCACGACCTTCGAATTCAAACTTTGCACTGGAGCCCAGAAGGTCGACAACAACATTAGTAACAAAAGGGAGTTCCTGGATTCCGCGCGTGATGGTTCCTACGCAGGAGCCGCAGGTCATCCCTCCGATGCTGGCGGTGGCAGCGTAGATGTCCCGGCGCGACGATGGAGAACTTTTCAAAGAGATGTCTTGAAGTTCCCCTTCGTAACCGAGGCCATCGATTACCGAGAGGACTTCATCGATGTTCTCTTTCGGGCCCCGGATGGTGAGTGACGCACTATGCGTCAAAAAAGCAACGTCGACGGATTTCACAAAACTAAGTTGCTCAACCGCGCTCGTCACAGTTCCAGCGCACGAGGAACACGACATCCCGGATATGCTAATGGATACATTGTATTCCTCGTCAGTCAGAGCAAGACCCTTCTCGAGATCGGGGACATCGCTTCGTTTAATCATCCAAGACTCGTCTGCTACCTTCTCCGGCTTCTTGGAAAGGTCATTGCCCATCGGCGTTTTGTCCCCAACAGCATGAAGCTGCGGGAAGCTCGACAGGTCCTTCTTTTCATCTGCTTGGGTCCTAGCCAGCTCTTCAGCACGACAAGCGTCACAGTTGTCAATATGCGTTCTATTCCTTGCCTGGGCATTCTTGTCACCCTGGACACCTGTGCGGAACAGGTGACGTTCTATGAACGGACTCGCGGGTAGGGAAACGTCGATGTTGCTTATTTCTGCTCCCGACTCATCGCGAGAACTTGCATGGTAGACCTCGAAAGCAGCATTAATCAGAGCGTTCACGAGGTGGGTGGTTGATACCTCCGGACCATGACGGATGTGGACCTTGTGGGCGAGTATTGTCACATCAACGCTGATGATGTGGGGGATATGGAACAGGACTTCCTTTGCGTATGCCACACATGATGCGCAGTGGATATTATTGACGAGGAGGACGGTTGTGGTAGTTTTGGGCCCTGCAGATAGCAGCGGGAGAGATGTGCGCTTGGCCACGGCGGCCGGCTTCGGGATTGGCTGATTGTCTGCCATCGTTATTCTGCAAGATAAAATAGCGGTCAAGTAGCATACGTTGGTGATGACCGGATGATTGCAGCGTAATAGTGTAGAGTAATTGGGGGAGGCCAGAAAATTGGGCGGAAAGCGTGGCTATTTAGATCGGTTTTGACAAATATTGCTTCAGCGGAAACCTGCAAACGCACGGGTTTCTTGAAATGAGACAAAAGAAGAATATGTTGTTTGGCGTACGGGGGTGACGGGTATATATGTATATATATATATATATATATATATTTATATATTTACTTGAGCTTTTGTCAAGTCGGAGAGAGCAGCCGTCATGCAGCAGGGATCAATCAACCATAGGAAAATGGATGACCTTCAATGAAAAACCCAGAAGGAAGTCAAAACCACATCTTATATATATGGCATTTCATAGAAACTCCACGAAGGCCAGCTGCGTGACTTGTGCGGGATTCTCGCACTCAATGGCGGGCAATGGAAGGTTTGCGAGCAGCCTTCGAGCCCAGCACGCACAAATCGCGCAGCCGCCGCCTCCATCCCGCCAGCGCCCCGGGGAACAAAACCGCCCGTGGATGTGGATCGAGGTCATCCCGAGAGGCTCGGCTTCCGTCATTTTGGAACAGGTGAACGAGCTGATTAGTCAAGGATGGTTGTGTGTTGGCCCAGGAGAAAAAGCAACGAGAGGACTCAAGAGGAAAGAAAATCCGGGGTACGCAGAGGGACATGTACAGTATGTACCGACGGTGGCTTTTCTGGTCGGTTCCCCGTCATTCTATTGTTGACGTCCAGGCACAAACTATCATTAGCCCCGAGTTAATCGAGTTCGCCGCGCCTAAGCAAACGCCCAGGATGACAGGATGGCCAAGATGGAACCAGTGTGGAGGTGCGACTGTGCGACTCTTTTGCCATGTGGCGGTACCTGGAGTCAGGTTATATTATATTATATTATATATGTACAGTATATACATCGTCCACTGCACCGTAAACCCCCAGGCGTGGCCACCCATACTGGGGTATTGAACAGACCCCAGAGCAAGATGGAGGCAGACGGCCATTGTATCACTATTATTGTCTTCTCCCGCTTGTTCTCGAAAATACCGATCGAGCGTCTGCTCCTCACGCGGCTCGAACCTGGGGCGCCACTGGTAGCACGTGTTCACCGCTTAGTCACTCGCTTAGCCGCTGCACCACGCTGGGTGCGCCAAGCCGCTGCTGGCCCGTCTCTGGCCAATTCGCCATCCATGCGCATTCTTCCGCTGCTCGTGGTCTCAACCTACAGATATTGCTGCTTATCCATATCCCATATCTTCCTTTTCTTCTTCGTTTGTGAAGCGGCACTCTATCCGTATCACACTACATATAGGCAAGGGGTTTCATTATCAGCCGTGCCAATTCGTGAGCACCTCCCTCATTCCTCTGATATATCCGTCTTAAACTTGCTCTCTCCCTCCCCCCCCCCCCCCAGAGGGAAAACGAATACAAATACTAAATGCCCATGTATATTAGCTCTATCGGCAAGCCGCGGGTCCTCCCGCCTTCCCGCCTTCCCACCATGACCAGCATGCGCCCGCCCGCCCGCTTCCCCCGGGCTCCAGGCGGTGGGATACGCGGCCCGGTCCAACGCCTCGCCAGTCTCCGCAACCCCAATCCCATCCCGAGTCCTCGCCCGCGCCTGCAACAAAAGCCCACCACCCATCCCAAGACCTCAACTTGCCCAAACCCTGGCTGTCCGGCCCCGAATATCGTGGAGGATGATGGCATGAAAGTGTGTTCGGGCTGTGGCACTGTCGTCAGCGAAGCGAACATTGTCTCGGAAATCACATTTGGCGAATCCGCGTCCGGTGCTGCTGTTGTGCAAGGCACCTTTGTCGGGGCGGGTCAGAGCTATGGGCGCAGCTTCGGGCCTGGGTTCCAACGGGGTGGTGGCATGGAGAGTAGGGAGATTACGGAGCAAAATGGTGGGTTTTTTTGTCCTTAAACCCCTTCTAGTTTGATATTTATTTTTATTTCTATTTCCCCCCCCCAACAACAGGATGGCGCCCATTGATATAGTTTATTTTATGATTCGGTCACTGATTGTAGCAATTAGGAAACCGCTATATTGCCCAGTTATCTCGAGCCTTGAATGTCCCAGAGAGCGCCACAAAGGCTGCTGGTCAAGTTTTCAAGCTTGCGGTGGGGTTAAATTTTATCCAAGGTCGCCGCACAAAAACCGTTGCGGCCGTGTGTCTGTATATTGCCTGTCGCCGCCAGGATGGAAATACAGTCATGCTGATTGATTTTGCCGATGTGCTGATGGTATGTACGTCTGTTCTACTTTGCACAATTGTTCATAGACTCTAACCAATATTTTCCCCCCCTTTTTACTAGATTAATGTGTTCAAACTCGGTCGTGCGTACAAAGCATTACTTGACGAGCTACGTCTGGGCGGAAACGTCTTTATCATGAACCCCATTGATCCAGAAAGCTTAATCTACCGGTTCGCGAAACAGCTTGAGTTCGGTTCCTCGATGATGCAGGTTGCAAGCGAGGCAGTACGCATTGTGCAGCGAATGAACCGCGACTGGATGATTACCGGTCGGCGCCCCGCAGGCATTTGCGGAGCGGCCCTCATCCTTGCAGCCCGCATGAACAACTTCCGGCGAACTATCCGCGAGGTCGTGTACGTGGTTAAAGTAACGGAGCTCACGATCCATCAACGGTTGAACGAATTTAAAGCGACGGAAAGCGGAGACCTCACCGTCGACCAATTCCGTTCCGTCCAGTTGGAGAACGCACACGACCCGCCTGCCTTCACGCAGGGAAAGAGATTGAAACAGGCAATGAAGCAGAAAAACGCAACCACTGAAATCGCAAACGGCGATGAGGACGAAAATACCCGACAGCTAACAACAACATCTTCCACTCCGAGAACAATGCGAGTAGACGCAGATGGCTTCGCTATCCCAGACGTCCCCATCGACCCCGCCTTGTTAGCCGACAAAGACGGGGTCCCCCCAAGTCCCTCAACAACAAAAGCCAAACGCGGCCGACCAAAGGGCGCCAAAAACTTCCGCCCCCCACCCCCAACAGCATCCGAACTAGCCTCTGAATCCGCCCTCGAATCCGAAATGCAAGAACTCCTCACAACGGGCTCGAACCTGCTCGCCTCGACAAATAGCACAACCTCTCACACCGCGCCAACAGCACAGCGCCCCGCCACCCCCCAGCCGCCGAAACCGATCCCTTCAACCCCGGACATCGACGCCAGCGAATTCGACTCCGACCCGGAAGTGAAATACTGTCTCCTCTCCCCCGCCGAAGTCGAGATTAAAGAGCGTATCTGGGTCCACGAGAACAAGGACTATCTGCGCACGCAACAGGCCAAAGCGCTCAAGCGCGCGTTGGCGGCGGAGGAGGATTTGATGAACGGGCGAGTGCCTGGTAGTGGCATGGGCCGTCGGCCGCGGAAGAGAAGAAAAGGGCGGATGGGCGATGTAGGGTACTTGGACGGGAAGGAGGGGGAAGGTGAGGAAAGTATGGATGGGGGGGTAGGGGGTGGAGGGCCCAGGGGAACGAGAGCGTCGACGCCGGCGGAGGCGACGAGGCGGATGCTGGAGCAGAGGGGTTTTAGCAAGAAGATTAATTATCGGCTGCTGGAGGAGATGTATGAGGATGGCGATGAGAGGAAGGAGGATAAGAGGAGGGTGGATAGTGAGAGTAGGGAGGGAGAGGGTGGCGGGAATGGAGGGTGGAGGAGGAAGAGGAGGCGGAGTGCGAGCGTATCCAGCGTGCGGAGCTCCAGTGTGGTTTCGGACCGGACTGCTGTTGCTGCTGCTGCTGCTGCTGGTGGTCTTGGAATCCGGGGCCCGGTCAGGGAGAGGGTTGTCAGGGGAAGTAGGTCCGGGAGCTCTGTTCCAGCCTTTGTTTCTGCTGTGCCTACAATCCCTACCCAAGCCCCAGCTCCAGCTCCAGCTCCAGCGCCAACATCCTCATCTACACAACCCCAACCCACCGCCACCACCCTCGGAGAGGAGGCAGAAGCAGCCACGCCAACACCACCCTCTACAAACCCCCACGAGGAAATCCTCGGCTACATCCCCGGTCCCGAGCGGGGCGAAGAGGACGCGGACGCGGACGCGGACGCGGACGTAGATGGAGAAGATACGGACGATGAGGAGGAGGATGTGGTGGAGGATGACCATGTCGACGAGGCGTTTGCGGGCAATTATTACGGAGGGGCCAGCGACGATGACGATGATTATTACTTTTAGCCGTGCTATCTTTTCTTCTTCTTCTTTTATTTTTTTTTCTTTTATTGCTTGCTTGCTTGTTTGCTTGCTCGCTTGCTTGCTCGATTAGTTGATTGATCGATCAAGCCTACATCTATCATCTACTGTACATTGGTTACGATGAAACATGTTACTACTGTACATACAGGCATATATACATACATACATACCCACTCCAAGTACAAAACAACAACAACAACAACAACAACAAGAGCATATTCAATCGATGCCCGTCCGCCGACGCTGAGCGGAGCTGGAGCCGGTTCCGGTTCTGGCCGAGTGAAGCAACCAGCCCAACCTCGCCTCGCCTCGCCTCGCATCACGTATCCCGCATCCCCTAACTATTTGAACTGTAGTACAGTACAGTTACAAGTCCAATCCAAGCAAGCAAGCAAGCAAGCAAGCAAGCCAGCTGGGGCCCCCTTTCTTCGATGATATCTCAATCTCAATCTCAACTCAACTCAAACAAAACTCGACCCGACCCGACCCGACCCGACCCGACCTGAACATAGTTTTATTTCTTCGTTTTTGGAGCAAGGAGAATAAAAAAAACACACAGACGAAAACACAGACGAAAGTGAAAATGAAAGTGAAAACGAAAGTGAAATAAACAACGGAAGAAAGATAAAACTTGTAGTTAACTAAGTTGGTTGCATACATTTCCCCATCCATCCATGCCTGACTGAGCCCACTAGTTATTGACACTTTTTGACTTTTGACCTGTTTTTATCAAGTCCGTAGAGGAAGACAGCTAACTAGTAACTTATTAACTTGTCAATGTTTTCCATGCTCAATTATAGATATATATATATATATTTACTCTTTACTCTTTACTCTTTGCCATTTACAATTTACTGTTTACTATTTTACTTTCATTTTGCATCCATTCGCTTTACTTATTGATTGATTATTCTATCTATATCTCATTCACATATATTCATTCAATACAAACTTCTTTCAAAACTTTTTTCAAAATCTCAATTGTTTTTCTTTTTCTTTTTCTTTTTCTTTTTCTTTTTCACTTTATTTTATTTATTTATTTATTTATGTTATTTTTCTTTTCTTTTCTTTTCCGTGTTTGTGTGTTTATTTCTACATTTCATTTCTTCATCAGAAAAGAACATCCCCTCATTCCTTTCTTTTGTCTCTGCTCATAACAACCGGAGAGGCAGCCGTGAGCATGTGCGTGTAAGTAGGTGAAAAGGAAAAAAAAAGGGGGGGAAGGGGACAAACAAAGGGTTTCCGCCCTACCGCCCTATCTGCTCCGCTTCAGGGGAAAGAAAAGAAAAGAAAAGCAGACAATTTAAAACAAGGAAAGAAACAGAACCGATAGAGCAGATGAAGAAAGGACGGAGAAACGAGCAGAGTAGAATGAGGGAAGGAGAAAAAATGAAATAGAAAGATAGTAAAAAAGGCCTCTTAATGCGCAGCAACCAACCCCCCCCCCGGATAGAAATAAATAAAATAAATGGGGGAACATTCATATCAAATGAATAGCAAATCAAATCGGCAGTAATGACAATGCATGTGAAGGGAAGACGCGAGTACAAGGAGGAAAAACGGGAAATATAAAAGGGAAGAAAGAAAATAACACAGATAGCGGAATGGTTGATACGTGTAGAAGCAAAGCTGTTTACAAAGTGGAAAAAACTCCCAGAGCAAAGAAGAGAAGAAGAAAGAAATTGCAAAAGGAGAAATAAGAACAGAAGCAAAGGAAATGTTATCGGAACAAACCATAATCGAAAGAAAAGCGCAATAGCAAAGGCCAAGGCCCTTGCCCCTGCCTCTGCCTCAACCGCTGGCCCCAAAGTCGAGAGGGAAATCGGCAAAACGAGAAGTACGGACCGGACGCACGGACGATCTGGAACATGGACATCGGCAGCTCCGTTCAATGGATGTTTCGATTTGGCCGTAGTCGATATAGAAAAGAAAAGCCGTTGTCGGAACGACATATCCCTGGAAAAAAATATAAAATATAAAATAAAATAAAATCCAATGTCGCGCGAAAACCGTTAAAAAAACACCTTACGCGTCATATATATCGGTTTTTTTTCAGAAAAAAAAAATCGTCGTCGTTGAGCTTAATGTTTCTTTTCTTTTCTTTTCTTTCTTTCTTTTTATTACCAGTCAATATCCATTCCCATCCCCATGTCCACATCCATACCGATCGCATCAACAGCGCCATCTTCACACCCAACCAGCACTCCTTTATCCCCCACGGCGCTCTCTGCTGCTGGCACCGCAGACGCTAACGCGGACGAAGCCCTCAGCACCAGCGAGCCATCTTCATACCGAAACGGCACCTCGCGCAGGTTGCGCAGGCAAGAGTCCCAATCATTACCCACCAGCCGCGCCTCAGCCAGGTCTTCGCTGAAGAGATAGAAGCGAGTCGCAGTGCCATTGGCATCTGTATCTTTTGTATCTGTATCTGTATGTGGCATCCAAGGATAGAAAGACGACGACGGTGACGACGACGACGACGAAGCAGAAGCAGAAGCAGGAACCTGCGCCGCAACCAAAAACGCCCCGAGCCCGCGATGTTTGAGCAGGATCTCCGCCTGGGAGATGTAGGTTGCGTAGTGATTTTGGATATACCGCTCCCAACCGCGGAGGGCGGCGGCGACGTCAGCGTCGTCTGTGCGCGAGACGCGTTGCCAGCTTATGCCTAGGAGGAGGGTGAGGGAGTCGAGCTGCGGTTCCTGTGGGATTAGGGGGTGGAAGGAGGAGAAGGACGAGGAAGAGGGTTGGCGTTTGGGTTGGTGGTAGTCATTATCATTGTTTTGCATTGAAGATGAAGGGGTGGCGGAGCTAGATTGAAGCTTGGCTTGGATAGTAGCTAGGGCATTATCGTCCCAGGCGGCGGCGGATGCATCTAAGCGTTGCGATTTGCGGCTGTGGAGGCATGAGGAAGGCGAGGTATTGCCAATTCCATCACGGCTCGGCAGGCCCATGTCGTCGATGCATGTTGGATCTGCTTCCTCGATGGACGGGGAAGACGTCGCTGTGGAACCGAAACCGCTATCACGCTGGTCGTCTTCAATTGAGTAGGAGGCTATGTAATCGTCACGCGAACGCTTGCGGGAAGGGTTCATTGCCAGCGGCGCAGATGAGGAGGCAGGTTTCCAGGAAGGTTTTTGACTGGCGGTGGTGATAGCGGTAGGCGCAGGATCAGAAGAAGCTGTAGCTGTAGCTGTAGCTGTAGCGGCAGAGCCAGCAGCAAAAGAAGCAGGAGGAGGAGAATGAGGAGGGGGAGGAGGGGGGGAAGCAGCGGAGGCTGAAGGATTCGAATGGACGGATCCGTTGATGTTCATGGCGGAGGAGAAGAAGGCCGCGCAGGCGGGATCGGTATGGAAGAATCCAGGAGATGCGGACGGATACGGATAGACGGCAACAGGACCGTCTGGGAGGCTGTGGACAAGTGGATGGCCCATTTCAATGAAGTTTTGTTCGTCCGAGTTGGTTGTGTGTGTGTCCCGCCAGGAGGTAATAATGGGAGTAGGGGGTGGGATCTGGAGTGGGTTAAGAGAAGTAGATAAGAGTGCACAGTAGTAGTAGTAGTAGTAGTAGTAGTAGTAGTAGTAGTAGTAGTAGTAGTAGTAGTAGTAGTAGCAGTAGTAGTAGTTGTAGTAGAACAAAGATGAGAGCTATAGCAACCTATAGAGAGATAGATAGAGTAGGGTATGTATAGTCTAGTCAATAAGAAATGGAAGCAGCAGCAGCAGAAGAAGAGAAGACAAATGAATGGAGAAGAGAGAACGGAGGAGCGGCCGAAGGACAAGAGCGTGGGTCTGGCGACAGCGGTGGGTGGAAGCAGGGAGCTGGGAGGAGAAGCGGGCGGAGGAGACGGCAAGCTGGCTGAGCTCCGCGAGCTAAGTACTAGTAGTAGTGGTGGTAGTAGTAGTAGTGATGAGGAGAGCAGAAGGAAAGGTGGAAGCAGAGACAGAGGCGGGAACACAGAGGGACAGCGACAAGCAAGAGGCCCCTCAGGCGGGAGGAGTAAGAGAGAGTAAGAGAGAGTAAGAGAGAAGGGAAGAAAGAGAAGAAAGAGAAGAAGAGAAGAGGAAGAGGAGAAAGAAGAAAGACGAAAGACGAAAGACGAGCTGCGAGCCGACTGCAACTCGCCTGGCCCGCACCTTGCCTATCCTGGCTAGCCCGGCATCTAGCCGCACCGGGCTTAGTCGGCGCGCGCCAAGCCCGGATCCCAGGGTACCGCCCAGCGACCTCCCATTGCCGCCGTCGGCCCACCAATGATGAGGTACCTGTCAAGTCGCAGGCTCGCCACTGCTTGCCGGGCCTGGGAGCCGAGCCTAGCTCCTACGGGGCTAGCCTGCTGGGGCACATCCAGCCAATCATATCGCGGGGTGGGGGTGGTTGGAGGACGAGGATGCAAACACGACAAACAGGTATCTCTCCGGGGAAAGTGAGGCGGGGAAATGGACAGTGGACTAAGAAAGTAAGCATCCGCCAGGAGCAGGAGAGAGAGGGAGAATACGAGAGAATTGGACATGTTATACTCTGTATTGATAACTCTAATTGCATGCAGTCATCTGAACTATCTCGCTTTCTTTTGTTCCGTTTTCTTTTTGCTTGTCCTGGCTGAGTATTGGGTAATGTAACTGATCTTTTCAAGATGAATGAATGGACAACAAATAAATAACAAAATAAAATAAAATACAATACAATATGTAAAAAGAGTAAAAGAAAGAAGCATCCAACAAGAGGTAGATACCCTTTGACATCGACAAGAGAAAGAAAGAGACACGCAAATGAATCACATGCAGCCTTGCCTTGCCGCCTTGCCGCCTTGCAGCCATGCATGCAGCTATGCAAACTGGGAAATCGGAAATCAGAAATCGGAAATGGAAATATGGAAATATGGAAACAGAGGAATGAAAAGAAATAAAAGACAGGTAATGGAGACAGGAAAAGTAAAGGGTCTATCCGTGATATTAAATTATGTTCACCCAACCTCCTTCCTTCCTTCCTGCCTGCCCTACCCTGTGCCTGTGCCTGTGCCTCCTTTTTGTCTTTTGTCGTCCCTCCAAACCAATGAATGATCCGCAAATAACAATCCCGTCCTGCCCCTTCCCATCGATTGCATAATACATCATTTAAAAAATAAAATACTCCTTGGGGGAATATTGGGATATTTCCCGTGCCGGCTGCTCGTTGCTGCTGCTGGTGATAATAAGATAAGAGGAACAGCTAACTCCTGAGGGCGACAGGCGACGAGAGGCAGGGGGTGGGCGGAGGTTTAAAATATAAATAAGTAAAAAAGGGGAAAAAATGAAAATAAAGGAAAAAAGCCGTAGCTTCCGCCATAAGCATCATCCCCATCTCAGCAGCTTTTGCAATGGGGAAAAGGGGTGTGTGATTCTTTTTCTATTTTATTTCTCTTTTTCCTTTCCTTTCCTTTCCTTTCCTTTCCTTTCTTTTCTTTTCTTTTCTTCTTTTTTCCATGATGAGGATAACATGCTAATGCAACTTGTTTATGCGTCAGGCATTAGGCATTAGGTGACCCATCAACCATCCCCGCCCCACCCGAAATCACCCCCTCAACCAACCCCTTCGGCGACCCGGTGACAACCAGCAACAAGACCACGAACAGAAAGCTGCTCGCGATGACAATTAGTCTGCGCTGGACGGGTTTTGCGCTGCCGTACTCCGCCCACACGCGACCCGCGTGGCTGGCGTATTCCTTGAACTTCTCTGCGCCGAGCTTGTAGTACAGCATGCCGCCGAGGGCGATGCTGTAGCCGAATAGCTGGAGCGGGGTGACCGGGGTTTTCCAGTAGGCGGCCGAGATGCTGACGAGGAGGACGTCTTTAAGGACGCCGCAGAGGGTTAGGACGAGGGAGGATGTGCGGCCAATCTGGGTTTTGGTTTCATGGTGGTTAGTGAGTGGGCAGGCTTGGAGATGGGGTGTTGAAGTAGTTGATGATGAGGGAGGTGAAGGGCAAAAAAAGGGGGGAATGGATGGACGGATGGATGGATGGGAGAAAGACGTACCAAGAACACGACGGAGACGTTAAGGAGGAACGCAACCATGGCATTCATGATGAGTGTGATGACGCCGGCTCTGTAGATATTCTCCATCGACACATCCGGCACCTCCAGAACGAGAGAGACGATTCCATTCATGACCGCGCAGATGGGGGCGAAATAGTACAGCGAGACCAGGGGGTCCATCTTGAACTCCGCCGAGCTGAGGAGACGCTGCACCATGACGAGACGGATGGCCTCGAAGATAAGGCCGGCAATCTGGTAGAGGAAGCCGGTCATGACGAATTGGATTTCTCCAAACGTGGCGATGACGACTCCTATAACGATGAAGGAGACGTTGAAAAGCACTTTCATGTTTGGCGGCGCAACGCCCAAGGCCCACGTAGCGAGGAGGGTAACGACGGGAGTGGTTGCCTTTTAACAAATATTCATTCATGTTAGCGGGATCAAGAGCCTGAGCGGGAAGGAGATAGATAGCCGGGTTGTAGTCGAACCTTGAGCATTTGGATGAAGGCCACACTAAGATACAGATATGTCTTGTTACCACAGATCAAGCTCAAGCTGAAAAAGAAGCCGATGGGGACGATGGCGCGCAGGTAGACCTTCCGGTCATCTTGACCTTCTTGCGGCCATCGAGTAGCGTGGTGGTCCGGGCAAGGATCTGGGTCATGAAGGAAGCGAAGGCCATATGCCATGTTGTGAGGATGACGGCTGTCGAATTGTGAGACATGGTTACCCACGGGCAGGCGAATTTTTGTTTCTTTTTTCTTTCTGGGTTGGGGGGAAGAATACATACGGAATGCTGTTATCGGAAGAAAGAATCGATTAGTCTTGTCATTCAGTTTGGCAATTTGAAGTAGGGTTTTTGCGAAAATATGATATATATGCAAAACGGGGGGAAAAGGGAAAAGGGAGGAGGAGGTGGATGAGGAGGAGGAAAAAAAAAAAACTCACGAAAAATATTCTCTTTGGTATCGAGCAGCTTCTTGTTGAATAAGATAACACTTGAACTCAACGTGATCCACGCACTAGAATTGGACGAATTGAAACCCAAAACAGTCAGTTCATTGGATCCAATTGTAGAACAATCGAAGA